CATCAGAGGGTAGCTCAGTGAGAGTGATCTGAGCAAGGTTGGTGGGCGTAATCCTAGAGAAGTTTCATTTGAGTCCTTGGGAGGCCAGATAAAGAGCTACCCTTGCCCCTTGCAGAGTTCACATTAAATTCAGGACCCTAAGTCTGCTCCGTAGAGTCCCTGGATAGCACAAATGGTTAAACACTTGATTACTAACAGAAAGGTTGGTGGTTTGAATCTAATAGCCAAAAGATATATAAAGCTTTGGTAACCTACTAATAAAAAAATCCAATCCTAAAATGGGCAAAGGACTTGAGTAGACATTTTACCAAGGAGAACATTCAGATGGCCACCAGTGACATGAAAAGATGCTCAGTATCTTAGAGTGATGCAAATCAAAACCACAATTTCACTCCCATTAGGATGTTACTGAGGGAAGAAGTCCAAGGTGCACTGAAAGCAGTGGCAAACAGAAAGGCTTTGGGAACTGATGGAATACAAATTGAAATCTTTCAACAAACTGCTATAGCACTGGAGGTACTTCACTCACCTATGCCAAAAAATTGGGGAGACAGTTACCTGGTCAACTGATTGGAAGAGATCCCTATTTGTGCCCATTACAAAGAGAGGTGACCCAACAGAATGTAGAAATCATAGGACAATATCATAAGCCGATTCAGACAAGGACATGGAATTGAGGTAACATTGCTGACATCAGATGGATCTTGGCTGAAAGCAGAGAACATCAGAAAGATATCTACCTGTGCTTTATTGACTATGCAAAGATTTTTGACCATGTGGATCATGACAAGCTATGGACAGCATTGCGGAGAATGAGTATTCCAGAACACTTAATTAGGCTCATGAAGAATCTGTTTATAGGCCAAGAAGCAGTTGTTAAAACAGAACGAGAGGACACTGTGTAGTTTAAAATTAGGAAAGGTGTGTGCCAGGGTTGTATTCTTTTACCGTATTTATTAATTCTGTACACCAAGCAGATAATCTGATAAACTGGTTTATATTAAGAACGTGGTTTTGGGGTTGGAGGAAGACTTATTAACAACCTGTGGTATGCAGATGATACAACCTTGCTTGCTAAAAGTGAAAAGGATTTAAAATATTACTGATGAAGAAGATCAAAGATCACAGTCTTGGGTATGGGTTGTACCTCAATGTAAAGAAAACAAAAATGTTCACCATTGGGACAATAACATCTTGATAAATGGGGGAAAAATACGTAATTAAAGACTTGATTTTGCTTAGATCCACTATTAACACTCATGGGAGCAGCTGTCAAGAAATCAAATGATGTATTGAATTAGGCAAATCTGCTGCACAAGACCACTTGAAAGTGTTCAAGAGCAAAAATGTCAGTTTGAGGACTAAGGCACATCTGACCCAAGCCATGATATTTACAGTAGCTTCATATGCATATGAAAGTTGGACAGTAAGTAAGACTACGGAAGAATTGATGCATTTGAGGTACGGTGTTCAAGAAGAATTTTTAAAATATGGACTTCTAGAAAAAAAAACAAATCTGTGTTGGAAGAAATACAGATAGAGTGTTTCTTAGAAGTCAGGATGGCAAGACTTTGTCTCTCATACTTCAGACATAATATTATCAGGAGAGACCAATCCCTGGAGGAGGATGTCATGCTAGGTCAAGTGGAGGGACAGTGGCATAGAGGAAGAACCCCGATGAGATGGATTGCAGCAGCAGTGGACGGAAGCTTAACAATGAATGTGAGGAAGGCTCAGGACTGTACGGTGTTTCATTCTCTTGTGCAGAAGATCGCTATGAGTTGGAAAAAACTTGAAGGCACCCAACAACAACAACAAGGATGTGGAGAAATTGAAACCCTTATCTATGGTTAGCGGGAGTGCGCAGTGGTTTGACTCAGGAGAAAGAGCATGGCAGTTCCTCAAGAAAACTAAAATTAGAACTGCCACATGACCCAGCAATTCTATTCCTAGGTGTTTTTCCAAAAGACTTGAAAGCAGAGATTTAACTACAGATATGTACACCTGTGTTTTTACAGCACTATTCACAATGGCACAAAAGTAAAAACAACCTTAATGCCCTTCAAGGGATGAATGGATAAACAAACTGTACAAAGTCTTGATACCATGCTTCACTGTGGATGGAGCAGGAAGATCGTATTCTAAGTATGAAGTAATTCAGTCACAAAAGGACAAATATATGACCTCACAAAACAAAGGAGACTAACAACGGTGGGAATATCTCATTTATTCAGGGGCGGGGTTGCTTAACAGATCTTTGTAATTGCTGTCAATAACCTGTATACTTATAAAAAGCTGAATTGGCAAAAGTGTGATATATTTACAATGATTTAAAAAAAAAAAAAAAAAAGTAGCTACTGAGGCTATAGGGTACAACCCAAAACATCATGGGATTTGATTCCTTGGAGGTTTAGAATCATGGTTACATGGTATTTCCCAGTTAATTGGCCTAAGAGCATGCTTCTGTTCTACCTCCTAGTTATTGAATATTGCGTAAGTTGGTAAGCAGTTATCCAGGACACAACAATGAGTGTATACTCACCTGGAGAAACAGTAGAGAAATACGGTGATGTGGACTATGTTGTTAATGACCTCCATGAGCTGCTGGGGTGTTTTTTGCCATGAGACTAAAAGAACTGGATGGTGCCCCAGCACCATACCTGATACTGTGATGAAATATAGAGGAATCCTGGTCAAAAGGAAGAAAATAACAGACTAGAACTTCCGATTTGAATGGACTCCAGACTTTCTGGAGCCTTGAAAGTTGGGCGGACCCCTGAAACTGTCGCCCTGAGATAATCTTGAAACCCAAAACCAAAAATATTCCTTGAAATCTCTTAAAACCAAACAGTAGTCTAGGTTAAGTAGTAATATAGGTCTGCCTTGAGTATAGTGGGCTGCTGCTGCTACTGCTGTTGTTGTTGTTAATTGACATTGAGCCAGTTCAGACCCATAGCCACCCTGTATGGTGCATTTGAGGAGTGGGTAGTGAGCTTTAACCACTGCCCTTGTGATTCAGACCGACCTTGCAGTCCAGTGCGGTAAGCCCAAAATGCCACAGGGTTAGGACTACCTATATGGGATCAAATTGACGACAGAACCTTCATAGATTAGATAGGAGACCTGATGAAGGAGAGGAAAACTCGGAAAAGGAGGGTGAGAATGATGGCACAACTTGGAGAATGTTCTCAGCAGCAGTAAGAAAATCAATAAAAATTAGGGAAAACTCTATGGAGCATATATGGGTCTACTCTGACATATAGGGGCTCATCATGAGTTGGCATCATCTTGGCAACTGGTTTTTTGGTTTTGTTTTTAAATGCCCTGCTTACTAGATCTAGTGTCATGGGCTCTACTGAGTTGACACGCTTCACCTGTCCTAATTCTCCCATCTTCTACGTTTTACACTGAACATTGCATTCCTTTTTTTTTTTTTTTTTCTATCCACACATATTACAGATATGACTGCTGCTTCATTTTATTTTCAGTGAATTCTTGACTAGGCCTCCAACCTTGTCCTCTTTTTACTCTGGAAATATTCTCTTTCTTAAGACAGCTTATCCTATCCACTGGACTTTGGTTCTGATCATTTAACTCTCACAGTTTTGCTATTACTGGCATTTGATGATTTCAGTAAATAAAATAAAAGGACTATAACTTTGTGTTTGTTTTTAGCATTTTTCAGTTTGGAGAACTAAGATTATAAAATGAAC